AGCCATATCATGACCAAAGTCTAAACAGCCATCTGATGGAAACTATGCACAAATGCCAAGGGCATAACAAGAACTAATAACAGTATGGGTGAAGTAAAAAGTCAAGTAAGCAAACCTGTGAGTTCGTTGGAGGTTGACGAGTACTCTGCTCTACTGGCCTCTAACAATGCTGAGACCTCATTGGCTGCATTGCAAACAATCATGAACTGAGTTTCTAAATCCTTGATAACTTCTGCCATACTTGTTGGCCTTCGGTCTAAATAAACAGTAAAGCCTGGCGTTTCCTCCTTAGCTTCCTGGTTACCAACAGCGGTTGCTTGGTTACTAGGTTCAACTTGTCTTGTATTCTGAGATCTTGACACCTCTATACTCACACTACTATGCGATGGTATTTTTGCATCATGCTCAATTTCAGTTCCGCTATCCATTTCCTCCTCCTCCTCCTCCTCTTCCTCATTAACATCTTCAATAATAACTTCTTCTCTGTTGCAGTTTAGATCAACTTTATCCTTTTCTTGTGCTACATTTGCCTCGTTATCACATTCCTCCTGTTCAGTCTCAACTTCTTCCAAGTCAGGGATCCCTTCTTCTTCTCTGACCTGCCTTAGACCTCTAATCTCATCATCCATAACTGTCTGATCAAGACTACTTCGAGTGGGATAACCATAGTAATCTAATGATGAAAATGGGTTCCAAAAGAAATCCCATTGAGAATTTTGAGGCGAAGGTGGAGGGATGTTGGGTCTATTGTTAGGGGAATAAGAGAAGAATGAAGAATTCATTGGTGAAGATTGCATTCCAAAGAACCCATCCATCCCAAAATGGTGGATTGGAGAGTAAGTTTCAACTCTGGCTGTTTCTGGTGATTGAGGCCTCTCTTCAACTGAAACTGCTGGGTTCCCTCCTGATCTTAGATAACATATTTTCACAGAAGAATGGGGTTCAGATTGGATTTGTGTAGGTGTGAAAGATTTTGATGAAATTGAGATAAAACCAGGACTTGTTTTCTTAATGGGTGTGAAAGGTGGGGTTATGAATGACTCCAACAAGAACTCACGAGGCTCATCTCCTTCGACATAATCACGAAGAGCAGCTGAAACTCTTTTTAGGGACTGGATATAGGCAATGTGTCCAGAGGCAAATCGTGTTCTTTGCTCAAGAGCCTGTTTAATAAATCTCTTTCGATCTTTACAAAGTTGAACTGCTTCCACATCATCTAGCTTTGATGTAGAGCATCCCATCTCTAGTTTCCTCTTACCTTCTCCTTTCACCCTATGAATTTTTCAGGCTTGAATCAAAACCAAAATCACAAGGGTAGTCTTGTGTATTTCTCGCCAGATTCATAAGGGTTTTCTGAGGCTGATCAGTAGAGGACTTCAGAGACCTCACTCCAACATGAAGAACAATCACATGTGCAAAGCACGAAAAACCAACCGGAAATAATCTGCATAGAAATCAAATTTTAAATAACTACATTGTCACTTATTTAAATTCTTCTATAGAACTAAAAACACTTGGAAAAGGTCTGAGTAATTTTCTTTTCTTTATATTCAAGTCACAAGGAAGGTTTCAGAACATCTCAAACTTGCACAATCAGGAAGATGAGATTCTGTCAAAACCCCACACGACTATATATAATCATGATTGCTACAAAGGCCTATTAAGCTACAAGTTTTTGTCAAGCTGGGGAAGAAAGCATAGAACTAGGCTAGGAAACAACTTGCCAAAGAACCTCCTACCATACCCTGAACAGAAAGGTTTATCTTTCATTATTGGTGTATAATGGGATAGTATTTCAGTTTTCTTATTTTTTGCTAATTTAAGAAAAAAAAATTATCTGGGACACCACATAAAGGTTAAGGTTTCCAAAATTTACAATTTTATGATGAGTTGACAGTCACATTAATTCAAACCAAGAAATAAAGGAAAATACAAAGGGAAAAAACTCAGAGAAAATAAGAGAAGGGCACAGCAAAAGGAGATAAAGGGGGGAGAGAGAGAGAGAGAGAGAGAGAGAGAGAGAGGGCACAGCAAAACGTTTGAATAAAATCTTCTCTGAAATCTTATTTCAGTTGTTCATATGAAGCTGGAAAACAAAGTTTTAGACTTTTGCGAGAAAATAAGAAACCCTTTCTTCTTCTTTCTTTTTTGAAAAGAAAACTAATTTCAATATGTTATTATGCAGATATGACAAACAGAGATTTCAAAATAAAAAGGAAATAACTAATACTCATGAATGGAGAAGAAAAAAGAAAGCTCTATCTTGGAAATCAAAGAAATTTATATCATTAATGCTTTCTGAAGAGATCCAAATTAATACTAACAACAAACATGAGAAGCCATTTAATTTTTTTCAGCTTGTATTAAAGTGACTCAATGCTCACCTAAAGTTCATATGAACAAAAAACCAGAGAACCCATTTCAAAAATTGGGAAACAGAAAAGTTCAAATGTTTTATTTGAACAGGATGAAGGCCAATCAAGCCTACTTGAACATGGAAATTCAAAAAGGAAAACCCATTTCATAGTTTGAAAAATTAAATTAAATCTAGTGCTGAAAATGCTGATAAGACAGCACAACAGCTTCCCAAGAAACTCAAAAAAAAAAAAAAAAACCGAGCTTCGGCTGATTGTTCTAACGAATAATTTGCAACAAATAGAAAGAAAATAATAGAAATCAACAAACTGGATTGCAGTGAAGAAGTATACCTTGGTAATTGCGGGCGGGAATAAGAGAAGGAGCTTTGATCACTGAGAGAGAGAGAGACAGAGAGAGAGAGAGAGAGAGAAACAGAGAGAGAAGCAGAGAGACGTTGCGAAAAAAGTAACGGTCAAAAGCCAAATGAGAAGAAAAACATAAAAAAACAAAACTTAAAGTTCGAGGTTGGAGGACTCAAAAAAGATAAAGGGGGAAACAGCGGCCCGATAGGTAGAGAATATGACAGCTCAATAACTTTGCCCTCCATGTTGTATATATTTCTGTAAATGCCACTTCAATTTTATTGTACTTCTGATCTGAGGGCTGACAAGGCAAAAGCAGCAAGAAGTTGTGTTAAAGTTTTGTTTTGTGGGTGATTTATATTCATACTTAAGAGTTAAGATATTAATTTTCGCATCCAGCTTAAAATCTCCTACAGATCTGAAATCAAATGAAAGGAAAACGCCATAGTTAAACAAGGAAATTAAAGTGCATTTTGTGATACATATAGAAAATTAAGCTGGTATATAAATGTGGTAAGTCGAGTATTTTCCATTGACATATGCAAACATTTCTGAATGAGTGAAGTAGGTGTGGGCATCAAGCCGGTCGAACTATTCAAATCAGCTAAATTAAACTAATCTAATCAATTTCATTGAATCATCAAACCGTAATTAGATTGGCTTGATTTGATTTGGCTTATATGTAACAATCTAAACAAACCAAACCACCTACGTTAATTTTATTATTTTTGTTCTTAGGCATTTTCTTATTGGTTATGACCATTTACTATTGTGTTTCATTCCACACATTCACCTTTAATATATAATTGTGCAGTTAATTTATTACTTTGATGGAATGTTGAATGTTGATAGGATGCTAGAGATTCGGAAATTATAATGGTGGTGGCTTTATGTGTGCTTGCAATTGTTGAGAATGTTACGGTGATGATTTTAACTTCATAAGGTTATAAGAAGTAAGAAATATTTGATGTGTTTGTTTCAACTTGCAAATATAAAATTGTTGTGTTTTATTTTAAATCACTATTAAATTTGGAAAATGTGTAAATGTATTTTGTAGAAAATAAAATACTACCAAAAAAAAATAAAATTAACTTTATACTTTAATTGCACTAAATCACTAAAATAATAATAATAATAACAAAATACTGTTTATTTTTGTCAAAAATAATAAAATAGTGTTCAGCTACTAAATTGACAAACCGTTCAAGTGGGTTGGTTTGATTTATCCCCTCATTTTAAGTCAAACGTACCGCTCAATGATTAATTGGTTTGGTTACGATTTAGGGATGAAATTGATTTACACTGGCCACGCCCACTAGTAGCAGAAAAACTTGTATGAAACAGGAATAACATTGTTTTGTTATTCTCAACTAATTATAGATTACTATATTGAAAAGTTATCATATGTGACACGCCGTGATTAGTCAAAAAGATAGCAAAATAATACTATACCCGTTACGAATAAGCGTTTCTCCACTAATAGAGCCAAGATCTTTTGAGCTTAATTAGCATTGCTCACAATAAAATTAAAAATCACTCTGATTCTATAATTTTTTCTTATAAAAAAAAAAGAGTTGAAAACAGAGCACGTCTTCTAGTTGTCTCTTGCACATAAGCTGAAGGCTGAAGCCCATGCTGAAACTCAAGTGGGTTGTTCACCGTCGGATCAGTTTCACAGACTAGGATGAAACTTGAAAGTAAATTCAATAGTGGGAGCTTCCGCAAAAGAAATGGTGGTCCTCTGGTTTTACACACCTGGCGCTTTCTGCTGTGTTTCTCATAAACGGTGGTTGTCAAGAATAATTGTTTTTTTTTTTGGCGGATAGGATAAAGAATTTCGAAAAGCAAAAGAAAGTCCGGTGTAAAGAAAAAGAAGGGGGAGCTGGTCCCACCAAAGCCTCGGGGATGCCATTGGTAAAGTCCTTGTACGGAAATACCCTTGAATTCAGGCGAAAATATCAGAAGTGTCTTGTATAACGGCCTTGAAGACCATCTAATATCATCTCATGTTTATCTTTGTAATTTCAAACTTGAAAACTTCGTTATGAAGTTGAGATATACAAAACGTTACCTAGAAGTACTAAGAGCTCAACACTGCATAAGAGCATATAAAGATGTAAGGGGACATGAGTGGGGTGTGTAGTGATATCTAGACTTTCAGCCTGCGAGCACATTGTCTGTCCTCACACCCATTTGAGAGTCAAGAATTGAGATTTAGGGATTCAAGAATTGAAGTTTCTGATTTATGAGATTATGTATGCAGAAATAGACTTGAGAAACTAATCAAGGGTTGATAATATGAATCAATGTAGTGTAAATCAAGGGTTGAAAATACAGAAAGAATAGGTAAGTAAATGCAAAAAGAGAACCCAGGTGCAAATGTAGTGCGGTTCTAAGTTCAAGCAGTCGACATCTGCCTCCATGACTACGATTCAAAGGACGAAGCTTAGGGTTTTGATCGTGTCAATCCGCGCTAGCTTCGTCAAAACTCGAAAGATTCCCTTGTGCCTCTTCTATTTAATGAGAATACGAAATTTAATCATGCATTACATCTGTTTAGAGAGCTCTGTACAAATGCTGCAGGGCAGTGACCTGTAAATCCTAGTCAACCAATTGCTGATTTCTGCGACCAACCATCATTTTAGGTCAGTCATGGCCTATTAAACTACAGTATATGTGAGGGAAGAATAACGATTCTGGAAACGTAACCTGCAAGTATTAAACAAAGGTTCCATAACTAAGAGGTAAAGGAACATGAAATAAAGATCTCCAAAAAAATGACTGCATCATTTCTCACCTTTAGAGCTTTAAATGCAATGCCGCATTGCCTGTCTCATTCCATCTTCCATAGCTGCAGTAAGCATATCCATTTCTCCGTATGTCTAAGCTGAAAGTTAACAACCAAAACATAATGGGCAACTGTGTGATAGAAAAAGGGTTTTAATAACCCTCATATGTAATGCTAAACCTAATTCTTCCTGTTAAAGCAGTACAACAAATCAGTGAATTATTCTTGAATAAAAATATATTGCAGACCAGACATCGGACAAATTTTACACCTTAAAAATGTCGCTAAAATTTCCAGAAGACAGATAAACGTTGCTTGAATTCACCAACCTGGCGGGCAACTCATATTTTAACCTTGTCGTTTGGTTGAGAAGATCCAGATGCATAGAAAGTGTTTGAACCGTGTTTCTCTAGACAGAATTAATGTTTGGAATGTAACCTTCATTCTTCAGATCCTCATATAATAACTTAAGTAAATGAAGAATTTCTATTGAGCCATCACCCGAGTGAAACTCATGAAGTTGATGCTCATTCCCAATCCAGCTACAACCAGGAGTCTTGCTGACACCCCTCTGTTTCATCAACACTCTCATCTTTGCTGACTCATCCCACATTTTTAAATTCGCATATATCTTTGATGAGATAACATAGTTTCCAGAGTTTGAAGGCTCTAATTCGAGAAGCAGCTGCACTACCTGCTTAGTGACATCTACATTTTTACATTTCTTACAGGCGCCAAGCAATGCCCCCAGTACGACTTCATCTGGTTTTTCAGGCATTTTCTTAATGAAGTCCCAAGCTTCATGTACAAGTCCTGCACGTGACAAAAGGTCAACCAGGCAAGAGTAATGCTCTACTTTCGGGACAAGACCAAATGACGAGCTCATCAAATTAAACAATTGACGGCCCTCATCCACTAATCCAACATGTACACATGCAGAAAGCACTCCCACAAATGTGATGTCATTTGGCCGAGTAGCCCCAGCACCTTCTGTCATGCTCTTGAATAGGGATATTGCTTCATGTGCTCTCCCATGGAAAGCAAGGGCAGATATCATGGCATTCCACGAGACCTCATTTTTCTGGGGCATGTCTTCAAAAACTCTTAGTGCATTGGCTAAACTCCCACACTTAGCATACATGTCAATTAATGCAGTGCCAACATAAATGTCCTGTTGTATGCCCCTTTCGGATGCATATTTGTCAATCCATCTCCCCAAATCTAGGGCACCGATCGAGGCACATGCAGACAACATTCCAACCAAAGTAATTTCATCAGGATTAACACCTCTCTCTTTCATGTCATCAAAAAGCACCATTGCTTCATCGGACATTCCATTTTGAGCATACCTGTCATGTATATAAAATGATGATAAACATACCATCAAACTCAATTAATACATATAGTTAGGACACTTGATTTATACTTTCCAGATATGTACTAGAAGATAATTCATACAAATATTAATACAATGGTTGGTTAATTAACTGGACATTCTTATCCAATTCATCCCATAGAATCTAATGACCACAGCTTAACTTTAACCAGTTGCTGTAAGGGGAATATTGACCAGGCTCGAGAGTCAACGGTTTAAAAGATGCATAAGAAACTTTTGTAAGCAATAAAAGTACACTGCAGACATATTTTGATAAATGGGATTATTAAAGTACTGCGAAAGGTGGGCATATGCAGTACCAAATTGAACACCATCATGAATATAATTGTCGTTACTATTGTGTTTATCATTAAACCAAAATGCTGGTAAGTGATAACAGTTTTCAAAAGGAGCCCAGCCACCTTCTCAAAAGCTGCATTCCCGTGGAAGAAAATTTTCAACCAGAAGGAACCTCAAAACCCTTATATAGTTAATTTTTCCATGAAAAATAAGTAGAAGCAAGTGTTCCCAAATCAATCTACCACAATTTGTTCCAAACTAATGACACAACCAAATGTAAGTACTAGTTTCATTTAACGAAAATATCCTTCTGTCTTTATTCCTTGAATTTCCATGATACGATAATCTAAAGACATTTCCCAAATATCAAAATACGAGGGCAATACTCATGGTTCATGATCTAGTAAGTGCCTGATATAACCTAGCCCTAGGTGTAAGGTATCTAGGTGTGAGGCGCTGAAAGGTTCTATTTTCTCTTTCTTCCTTGCATAAAATCCCAATGCTGCTACATTTCGTTTTCAGATACCACATTCCTTTCTAATATTTAGAGTCAAATTCTCAACTTTACATAACCCTAGTCTCTTTATACCCTGAACATTATTACAACCCAGTTGACTTCCAAACCTCAGCCTTGTTCAATCTGCAAAATGTTATATTCCCTTTTTAATTTTTAACCATCAAAACTTAACATTCAAATTATTTAACACAGATAGCATGATTCTCCCCTGTGCGCTCTGACCCCATCATATCCACAAATTGAATTTGCAGGCCTGCAGCAAGGGAATGTAAACAGTAAATATAAACAAGATTGTACACAAGGGAAAGTTACTTGCCCTGTTATCATGGCATTCCAGGTGACTCGATCCTTTTTCTTCATACTATCAAAGACCCTCCTCGCCGAGGACAAATCACCACACTTTCCATACATACCAATCAATGCAGACCCAACATATGAATTCAGCTCCAACTTATTCTCAACAACAAAACTCTCCACCCACCTCCCCAAACTCAAATCACCCAGGTCCCCGCACGCTCCAAGAATGCTCACCAAGCTCATTTCATCAGGCTCAAACCCCGAATCCCTCATTTCTCGAAACAACCGCACAGCATCACCCGCATACCCCATTTTGGAATACCCGGAAATCATCGAATTCCACGAAACCAAGTCCCTTTGATAAATTTCATCAAACACCTTCCGTGCAAAACCCAATTTACCACACCTAGCATACATGGTAATCAAAGAGTGAGTCACATGTCCATCCTTATCCAATCCAGTCTTAAACACCGACGAATGGGCTGCACGCCCATGATTCAACTCAACCAAATTCGCGCACGCAATGAACACGAAAGGGTACGTAAAATTATTGGGCATCAGACACAAAGACTTCATTTGGTAATAGAATTCCAGAGAAAGTTGGTATTTATGCCATGTGGTGGTAAGGCCACGGATCATGACGTTGAAAGCGTAGTCGTTGGGTTCCGGGATGTGGGAGAAGAGCATGGAGGCATAGGAGAAGTCTTTGAGGTCAATGATTTTGGGGAGGAGGAAGTTGGGTTTATGTATGGAGTTTATGAGCATTTGGGTGTGAATTTGTTTCAACTCTTTGGTGGATACACATTGTTTCAGGAGGTATAAGAGCTTTTGGGAGAGAGAGGGGTATTGATTTGGGTTGTGGGGATTGAGGTGTGTGTGGCTTTTTTCAAAAATGATTTGGCGGGTAATTAGGTGTGAAGAGACTTTGGCTCTAAGCATAATTTAGTGCCTTTCAAATTTGCTGTGGTGGTTGTCGCTATTTGTTAGCTTATAAATCTTGGGGCATGACAAATACAGGGGTTTTTCTAAGATAGGAAAATCCGAAATTGAAATTTTTTTCCCCAACCAAATGGTTATAAGATTAGTTTAGAACTGGAAAGAAAAGCAAAAGGCCCAAAATGGCCCAAACTAGACCGAATCCAACAAAATGTAGTAAATTAAGAGAAATTTAGCTAGTTCATCAAGTCACTTACTTTTAACAGAAAATGTTTTTTGTGAAGGAAGTTGAGGTTCCACCCCAAAACCAGGACTCTTTACCTTCACATTCTCACACACCCCCGCACGTGTGGCGAATTTTCAAGCCTATCACGTGGACAACTCATATTGGGTGACGTGGAGCACGTGTGACCATTGGGCTTTCACACGTGGGCTAAACTGCTCTGATACCATGAAGGAAGTTGAGGTTCCACCCCAAAACCAATTGGCAATGAGGGGAGTAGCCCAACTCCTTATAAGCCCTTGCTAGGTTTCTTAACTTTCCAATGTGGGACTCTTTACCTTCACATTCTCACATTTTGTACTTATAAAACATTGCGAAATCAACTATTTGTTGGTCTAGTGGTAGTGTTTCCCTTCCAAAATGTTGGAAGATGTTTCAAGTTCAGTTTTCCCTCCTCAAAAGATCAAAAAAGAAGAAAGAGAAAACACTCAAGACCTGGGTGTGAATTTTTTTTTTGGTTACAAAAAAGGGGGTGTGAATTTATTTGTTGATGGCATACCCCTTCTCTGATTTCCACAATCTCATTGCATCTCTTCATTGTTGACCCATTCCTTTACTCTGGAATGGTATGGTTTCGAAGAACATGTTTAAGAAGACGGTACCAGTTATCAATTGAAAATTTTAAAAACCAAATGTTTAAGCAAACAGATAATTAGGTCATATAGGTTATGAACTTCAACACTTGTTATACCTTGTGCACACAATTGAGCTATAACTTGTCTGTTTTTATGGCCTTTTGTTTGCTTCCTTCCCTGTATTTTAACCACAATCCTCCTCTCCTTCACATAGGCCAGGCCTACACTTATCTGCCTACAGTACTTCCAAGCACTAGTCTAGATCTGTAGTTAGAACTTGGAAGAGGGCAATTATATGCAGAAAAAGACCATAGATATTTGGAAAGGCCACCCTGCATACCATCAGACCCCTTAAATTTCCCTTGGTTGCAATTGCAAGCAAATTGCATATTCCTGGTAATACCTACCAACTAAGATTTATAACATACATAGCTTCTAACACACATACACACACACACACACACACACACACACACACATATATATATATATATATATATATATATATATCATGTTACATGCTGCTAGAAATTAATCCATCTTAAAAGATTTGAAGATGTTTGTCAGAGAGCACAGGGCATCATCATTAATGAACCGATGACATCGGGTTATTTAGTTTAATTCTTCAAGGGGGGAAAAAGAAAGTTTTGTTTTGAAGTAGTTTTAGTTGCAGGTTAATTTAATCATGGTTTTGGTGGGCGGCCTCTGGCAGCTATTCTACATGCAAACTGAATTAGCTCCTTGCTTGTGTCATCCATGTGTAAAACAACCTCTATGAAACACAAGCATTCCTCCTTATCCTCAGTCGCCGTCTTAATTGCTTCAACAAGCTCCTCCTCACAATGAACCTACAAACAAAATGAACTAAAAATTAAAAGAATATAAATCGAGGAAATTTAACGTTTGCTTCGGATATGGTTTCTATTTACCAGTTGAGTACGTAGTACTTAATTAAGAAAATGCAGTTATCAGATCATGGCTCACCTTGGTGGTCCAGCACTTGCCTTCCCCATTGTGAATAGCATCAACCAAGGCAGTGTAGTTCCAGTTCTTGATTATGTTGTAAGGCCCGAAATGGAACTTTTCTTCTGTCGTGTATCCGCCATTGTTAAGTAAAAATATGATATTTCGTTGTCCACATCGCAGCATAGTCGACACATCTTGTGCTGTCATCTGTAAGATATATAATGTGCTTGAGTACAATGGCATCTAGTTTAGTAACGAAGTGAAGAGAAACAGAAGGGCTCTATTGAAAATTAAAGAAAACCTTCAAGTTAGAATAATTATACCTGGAAGCTCCCATCACCAATACAACTAATTAGTCTCTTATTAGGTGCAGCCTGTGCATATCCTAGAGTTGCACCAACTGACCAACCGATTGATCCATAATTTATTTGACACTCATAACTGCAGATCCATTTTCAATCTCCACATTATATATTCTAAATTAATTGCAGAACTAGTCAATGTATATTCAATTTGCTTACGTGCATCCTTGTGGGAGTTTCAGCTTCTGGCAATTAAACCAAGAGTCTCCTGCTTCTGCAATCACCGCGGTGTTACTTGACAACATGTTTTGTATGTTTTTGAAAAGAATGCTGACTTTCAGATTCTCCTTGGGATCACATTGAGAAGGAAGGCCCTCTGAGACATGTATCCGGCTGTAGTTCTTGTAAGCAGTTGAATTGTACTCGAGCTGCCTTGCAAGTGCTTTGAGAAAGTCCCTCATTTGAATGCCCCCAAATCTTGGTCCATTTGCAATAACTACACTCTGAGGCTGTATGATTACCGCCTTCTGCATTTTGACATGAAGTGAGTACCCGACAGTGGTTAGTTCGTCAAATATAGCTCTGGCAAAGAGGTAAGCGTCAGCTGATTCGACAACTTCTGCGCAGAAAGGGGTGCTTACTACACCCCAGTAAGTCCCAATGAAATTTGGATGGTTCTTTGGTATAAGGCCTTTTGCTGAGGGCATGACCGCCATGGCATAACCACAAGCATCTCCCAACTCAATAAGGGAATTACAGGCCTTTGCAGCTCTAAGAAGAGGCCCCGAAACAATAACTGGTTTCACAGCCTTGTTCAAGTAGTTTGCTGTTGCCTCCACTGCAATCTCCAGGCTTTCTTGGTGTTGTGAAAATGGACAAACACTTTCACTCACTCCCCTAATGATCTTGTTGTTGATGGACTTTGTGACACACACAAGGATTGATGAATCACACACACACACACTTGAGAAACCAACCAAGCACAAAGTGACACAAGAATTTATAGAGGTTCAGCAATTGCCTACATCCTCTTGGTGATCCCCTTGAGAAATTCACTAATGAAAGAATAAGTTACAACTTTAGTTTACAAAGAAACCCCCTTAGAACTCTATTCTCTCCCAAGCTCTCTTTTCTCCCTCACCCCTTGCTCAACACTTTGATGCACTTGTGAACACTCTCTCACACTTGGTGTTTCCCTTGTTTGGTGTCTAGACTACTCAAGACTCAACTCAGCTCTCTCTTGAACTGATTGCCCTCTGTCTCTCTTCCTCCCTTGGTAAGTTCAACCTCTTGGACACAATAACTCCCAGCTACTTGACCACTCCTTGAGATTAACCACACCCACACAGTTGTCTTGCATCTTCTTTTCTTTTGTAGGCAGATCTTTGGACTTAGTAGAGGGCTGCAATTACTCCTTCACGTTCTTGCTTTCAGCTACCCACCTAAACACAAGGTTAGGCAAATCAGAAAACAAGCCATAAAGCATGCACCTTTTGTCCCATTGTCTCCCACCTAGAAAACCCTTTGGTACAAGACAACAAACAACATTTAAATGGTGTTCCAGCTTCTAAGGCACGTTGCCCAACTTCCTAGAACCCATAAAACTCTTTGGAGGCACTTGGAGTTAGGTAGGGAACAAGCACATGTGAAAGGCACCTTGAAAAAATGCATGGAAAAACGACACATCACGTATGGCGACCAGTCTCTTTGCACTCTGCCAGAAAACGACCGGTCGCTTGCACCTTGCGACCGGTCGCCTGCCTCGTTTTCCAACTTCTTCTCCAGACCTCGAATCTGCTTCAAAACGACCGGTCGCCCAAACATTGCGACCGGTCGCTGCCTCTTTCACTTGCAACCTTAATGTGAGCCAAATTTCCAACACTTGGTTAGTCAGTCTGAAAAAAGAAAAGAAAAACAATAATGATAGGTTAAAGTATTAATATTTAGTATTTGAATACCTTGAATAATTTACTGTCTAAAGAAGTCAGAAAAATTACTTGGGAGTTAAGAAGAATGGAGCAGGCTCTTGAGGAAAGGATGGATGAGGAATGGCTGGTAAGTTACAGCTTATGCTGATGTAAACAGGCTTGCTTTCTTTCAAAGCAACTGCAATAGCTTCATCTATCTGCAACTGTGCATCTTCCAAGTCCTTCATAACAGCCTAAATAAATAACAGGGTGCATGTTATATCAGAAATTGAGAGATGAGAGTCCGGAATCCAGGTACCAAAAATTCAAAAATCAATTACTTCCACATGCTCTTTAATTTCCTTCTTTACACCAAAGGGAGATGCTTAGCAAAATAAATTTTTAAGACTTGAAACAGACGGACGAGTTGTCCGCTACTGATTGGTCCAACACCTACCGTCTCCAACTTAACTGTTAGAATAGATAGTGTTATCAGACTAAGAAAATGAAGAAGAATAGGCAGAGAAGGAATCTGCAAAATTGCTCAGCACAGCTCTCTAAGTCAGAGAGAGGCTTTTTTTGTATATTTCAGTATATTGAACATGCAACAAGCACTGTGCTCTTGACCATTAGGCCATCTCAGCCTTACACTTGTCATCTTCTAGGACAAACTGATAACATCCAATTAAAACAGGGCTTACTTATTCTAACTACCAATTAGCTCAATGCTTATACATTAACACTCCCCTTTAAGCTTTGAGCTGATATAACTCCAAGCTTATCTCTGAGATAGTTGAATCTGTCCTTGGGCACAGCTTTGGTAAATATGTCTGCCACTTGATCTTTGGTTGGACAATATACCAGATCAATAACACCCTGCTGCAGAGCATCCTTGATGAAGTGATATCTCCTGTCAATGTGTTTTGTCCTCTGATGAAACACCGAATTCTTTGTGATTGAAATAGCAGAAGTGTTATCACAGTTTAGGGTAGTTTCTTCTGTTTGTAGCTCACCAAAATCTTCCAAAACAAATCTGAGCCATATAGCTTGAGTTGTGGCTTTAGATGCACTTACATATTTAGCTTCAGTAGTTGAGAGTGCAACACAATTCTGCTTAACAGAAGCCCATGAAAAAACTCCACTGCCAAAAGAAAAAGCATAGCCGGATGTGCTTTTGCTATCTTCAAGTGAACCTCCCCAATCACTATCACAATACCCAATTAAAACAGCCCTCTTACCCTTCTCATACATCAAACCATAGTCTAATGTCCCTTTAATGTATCTAAGCACCCTCTTAGCTGTTCCATAGTGCTTGTTTGTGGGATTGTGCGTATATCTAGCTAGCAGGCTGGCAGCATACATCACATCTGGTCTGGTAGCAGTTAGATATAGCAAACTGCCCACAATTTTTCTATATTGTTCTTCACTAGCTGCTCCACTCCCATCCTCCTTGCTTAGCTTCTCAGTAGCCACAAGTGGAATGGAAACCGATTTGCATTCTTTCAATCCAAACTTATCCAACAAGGAAGAGGCATACTTCCTTTGATGAATAAAGATGCTAGTTTCGGTTTGGATCACTCCCATTCCAAGAAAGTGGTGAAGTAGGCCCAAGTCTGTCATCTCATACTTCTCTTTCATATCTTTCTTGAATTCATCTAACATCTCTTGATTGTCTCCTGTGTATACTATATCATCCACATAGATGGATACGATTAGTATATTGTTTTCTCCCCTTTTCTTGGTATAGAGAGTAGCTTCACTCAAGCTTTTCTCAAACCCACATTCTGCAAAGTAGCTGTCTATTTCTCCATACCAGGCCCTAGGTGCCTGTTTTAACCCATAGAGAGCCTTGTGCAGCCTATAGACTCTGTCTTCTTTGCCTTGAACCACAAATCCCTCAGGTTGCTCAACATACACTTCTTCTTGCAGCCTTCCATTTAAGAATGCTGACTTGACATCTAGTTGGAATAGCTTCCAACCCTTTTGTGCAGCAAGAGCTATTAAGGTTCGGATTGTGTCCAATCTAGCAACCGGAGCAAAAGTCTCGTTATAATCGATTCCTGGTTTCTGCACATATCCCTTAGCAACCAATCGTGCTTTATTCTTTTGCACTGAACCATCCAGATTCAGTTTGGTTTTGAACACCCATTTCACTCCAATGACTTGCTTATCGCTTGGCCGATTCACAAGTTCCCAAGTCCCATTTTTCTCAATCATGGATAGCTCATCTTCCATAGCTTTTATCCATGCCCGGTCTTGGGCAGCTTCTTCATATCTCTCGGGTTCCACAATGCAGAGATTGCATTGTGCTAGTATGTCACTGATATTTCTCCATTTGACTGGAGTATGATCATAAGGCTGAGAGATTTCTGCAGATTTATGAGTGATATTTTCTTGTTCTTCAGCTTGAGATGAAGTGCAGGGGCTGGCTGGACTTGGTTCTACTGCAATCTGCTCCTGGGAGGACACTTCACTACCATTTTCCGATTGGTTTAGAACACAAGTCACAGCAACAGAATGTCCTGAAGCTTCCTTCCAATTCCAGGCGTTGTTTTCATCAAAAACCACATCCCTTGACAAAACCAGCTTCTTGGTGCTTGGATCAAACACCCTATATCCTTTCTCACATGTTGCATAACCAACCAACACTCCAATGACACTCTTTGCATCCAACTTCTGTCGCATTGTAGCTGGTATGTGCACATAACAAACTGACTCGAACACCTTTAAGTGACCAAGACCAGGTTTTCTGCCACTATAGGCCTCAAATGGGGTTAGATTGTCAAGAGCTTTGGTAGGTGACCGATTTAGAATATACACAGCTGTTTGTACCGCCTCTGCCCATAGAAAATATGGCATGCCCTTGTCATGAAGCATAGTTTTAGCCATTTCTATCACGGTTCTGTTTTTCCTCTCTACTACTCCATTTTGCTGTGGAGTATAGGAAATAGTTAGCTGTCTTTGTATGCCTTTAGACTCCAAGAACTTGTTGAAATCGGTTGAGAGAAATTCCCCACCTCTATCACTCCTTAGACATTTCACTTTGAAATCACATTGTAATTCTACAATTGCTTGGAATTTTCTAAAACAAGATAGAGCCTCAGATTTTTGTCTTAGAAAATAAACCCATGTCATTCTTGTATGATCATCAATTAGCAGCATAAAGTACTTATTACCTGCAACCGATTCATTTTGCATAGGGCCACACAAATCAGTGTGTATTAGCTCCAATGGATGGCTTGCTCTCCAGGCTTTCTCTTTAGGAAACCGATCTCTATGTTGTTTTCCCAATTGGCATCCTTCACACACACCATTAACCTCTTCAAGATGTGGAAGACCATGCACCATCTCTTTCTCTCTAAGCTGTCTAAGACTCCTAAGATTGAGATGACCGAGTCTCTTGTGCCAAATCCAAGTACATTCAGTCACACTAGCCCTTAATGCAAACTGATCAAATTTCATTAACGATAGGGGATATCATCTATTAGGTTTCATCTTGACCTTGAGAACCAACTTATCAAGGGAGGAACTATCATAAATGCAGCACATACCCCCACCAAACAACAAATGATACCCATGTTCATCCATTTGACCAACACTCAGCAGATTTTCTTTTAATCCAGGTAAAAACATAACCTCCCTAATGTATTTCTTGCCAGCACTAGTGCCAATTTCTAAAGAGCCTATACCTGCAACATCCACCAGATTTCCAGTAGGCATTTGCACCTTTCCACACACATTTGTCCTTATATCAACAAGCAAGTCAGCACTTCCAGTCATGTGGTTACTACACCCACTGTCAATATACCAGTTTCCATTCACTTTTGTATCAGAAATGGCACTATTTGCAAAAAACAAATTTCCAGACACTTCAGCTTGGTTGGCACAGTTTGCCTTCTGAATTCCCTTACCTGCTGTGCATTCTCTTGCCCAATGTCCAAACCTATCACAATTATAGCATTTGGATTGCCCCTTATATCTACACTCACCAAAGTGAAACTTGGAGCATGTCTTACACTGTGGTTTTGTTCCTGTTTGAGTTTGTGCATTCTGTGCAGCATTCTGCCTTGTCTCCCACTTCTTTCCTTTCCCATTCCAGTTTTTCTGAGACTTTGGTTGTCCAGAAGAAGAACCGCCCTTGTTCTGACCTTTAGAGTTAACCGAGAATGAGGCAAATGCCTTCTCAACCGTATCATCATCATGTAACTCAAACCGTTGTTCTTGACTCTTTAAAATAGCAATAACCTCCTGCAAATCAACTGTTTCCAGACTCTTTGTATTCTCAATCACCAGACAAATAGGATCATACACCTTATTTAAACTGATTAGAACCTTTTGAACAAGCCTTTCATTGGACAGAGACTCACCATAGGTTTTCATTTGATTAATTAGCTCATTCAACCGAGTAAGATATGCAGACAAAGATTCATTTTCATGCATCCTAGTATACTCAAATTCACGTCTATGGTTTTGAAGCTTTACCGATCGGACATGGTCACCACCATGATACTCTCCATGTAGCAAATTCCATGCCATCCTAGCTGAATCGGCAGTAGCAATTCGAGGGAAGATCTGGTCAGAAACAGAGTTCTGAATAATGCCCAGAGCTTTTGCATCCTTCATAAGAATTGCAGCAATCTTCTCATCCTCTTCCTCTGTAGATGTTTCCTTCTCATTCGCCTTCTTCTTCGATTCTGGAATCGGAATTCCTTTCTCCACCAGAGTCCACAGCCCATATGACTTGAAGATGGTTATCATCTTGATTCTCCAGAACTCATAGTTCTCACCGGAGAAGATCGGAGTTCTTACCTCTGAATCTCCTGACCCAGACATTGCTAATCTCAGATAACCAAACCCCGATTTGTTTAAGATGTCAAAACGAGCTTCAATCGATCTCCACAAACTTGAGTGAGCACCGATTAGCTTGATTCCACAGATCTAAGAAAACGCCCAAATCAATTGATCGAACCTGGCTCTGAGGCCATGTTAGAATAGATAGTGTTATCAGACTAAGAAAATGAAAAAGAATAGGCAGAGAAGGAATCTGCAAAATTGCTCAGCACAGCTCTCTAAGTCAGAGAGAGGCTTTTTTTTGTATATTTCAGTATATTGAACACGCAACAAGCACTGTGCTCTTGACCGTTAGGCCTTAGCTGTACACTCACACACAACATCTCAGCCTTACACTTGTCATCTTCTAGGACAAACTGATTACATCCAATTAAAACAGGGCTTACTTATTCTAACTACCAATTAGCTCAATGCTTATACATTAACACAACATGCATACTCAAGGGGTACGGGGTTTATAGAAAAGGTCTCGCTCTTATATTAGTATTGGAACCACTCAATTATACATTCTTCACCAGCAGAAATGAGTATAGAAACAGTTCAAGCATCATGAGGAACTATTTTGGGAGGAACAGCTGCATAAGTAACTAATAACATTAAGCGATGCCTAGAGCTGCATTGAGGAATGATCCCTTCAATATACCACAGTAATAGGTTATGTTAGGGTATTTGATCTTATTTGTTCTGTTTTAATACGGGTTATTTTATTATTGGGCATGAACTCCATACATAGATTTATTACATATAGTAGAAAAGACAAAACAATTCTCTTTAACATAACTTGAACTCTAGCCTGGGCTTGTGGACGTTTGAGGATTAAAAACTCTCTCATGAACCAAGCTATCCTAACTAGAGAGACTCATACAACAAAAGGAAAGTCTGTGGTCTTAAGTCATGGAAGTGAATACCGTGGTCTATGAGCTAGCAAGCTCATTTGACTAAACCATCTCATATAGTTGTGTAGTTCTCTCGAGAGCAATATATAAGTATTCTTTCTCCCAAACCTCTTTCATTGTTCTTCGTGTTCTTGTTTAGTTTTTGTACTTTTTAGGTTTTTGTGATCCGTTTGTGCAGAGATTTCAGAGGTTGACTTAGCCTCATTTTCTTTTCTGGGCGGAACCACGCTCATCTATGTACTTAAAAAAAGATCTAACTCGAGCTCTAATCTATTGTGCTTGGCCCTATATATTAGAGATACAACACTCTCTCTTACAATATGTCAACTCTTTATAGAGGGGCATACTTCAAACATTCACCCTGGGCCTTATAAAACTCAGGACTGGCTCTGGGGGGATAGTAAATGCAAGTTCTCCTACCATTGAAACCCCCATGTGTATTTGACAGCATGCCACCGATTCTACCTTCAAGATTCAGCACACCACCGACACACAAAATTATTACGTGAATTCAAGCAATATATCATGCAACAACTATGCCCAAAATTTCAGTCCCAACTCGGTTGTACAGTTATCTAATGTTAGAAAAACACCAAAACTAAGTGGAAAACGTTTGTTGATGCTTTTCAGTTGTGGAGGGGTCTTAGAGGTTTCATGTCCAAAGCTAAGTGAGTGGGTTTTGTGGGTGGTTAGCTGTATACTTACAAAATTTAATAGGTAAGTCACTTTGGGGTCATTTGTTACACATGCTTGGTTTGGCCTGATTTGAACTAAATTTAGTACCATGTTTGGTTCATCTAATCCTAGTCTTAGATGGAATTGCTAATACCAGGCCCACCAAAAACACCTCTTTAAAAGAGGACTACTAACCTCATGTGAAAATGGATGATTAACTAGTCCCATGCTCACCAATGTATAAAATGCATGTATTATATTGTAATACTAATAACATATATTACTATTATTATTATTATTATTATAATACTATAATTACATACACATATACTATAATGTACATATATACACACATATACACATATATATACACATATATATGTATATACACATATATTATTATTATAATATACCCATATACACATATACATATTAATATTATAATAATAGCATACGTGTATATATGTAATATATATATGTGTGTATATATATTATACTCATGTATGTATTATAATATACATATACACACGTATATACACATATACATTATATATGTATAACATATTTATATATCTTATATATATTATAATATCGTATATACATGTATATTATTATTATGACATACCCATATATATATAGTATTTGGAGAGGAGATCTCGAGACTTTACATTTAGAGATCATGCAATCGTAACATCAATGGATATCATATTGTATTTGAATGTTAGTTTGAATATGCATGAATGATTTGTCGTAACGCATGGCTAACCTGGTGGCAAGTAACAGTTTGGAAGCATCTGAGCTCTTGGCTGAAGTCAGACAATCCAATGGTGTGGTGGAGAATTCTGTTACTGCCATAATCATTCGAATTAGGACCACCAACAATGCAAACAACGGGGAGCTGCTTCCTCCTCAAAGTCTTCAGTACCAACCTCAAGTGCTTCTTATGACCCTCTAGACTTCGTGAGTATACAAGGATGTCGTCTATGAACACAATTACAAAGCTATCCAAGTAAGGTCGGAACACTCTGCTCATGAGATCCATAAACGCTGCTGGGGCATTCGTTAACCCGAGAGGCATCACCAAGAACTCATAAGGGCCGTAACGAGTCCTGAATGCCGTCTAAGGAATATCTTCTTCTTTGACTCTGTGTTGATGGTAACCCGATCTCATATCAATCTTGGAAAAGTATTTGACACCCCTCAATTGATCGAACAAGTCATCAATTCGAGGAAAAGAATATCGGTTACACACTGTCACCCTATTCAGCTGCCTGTAATCGATACACAACCAAATAGTGTCATCCTTCTTCTTCACAAACAACTATGTGTTTTGGTGTTATTCAAATATGTTATAGCCAAATTATAATATTATAAGTTATTTGACTTTGATAAATTAAGACTTGTGTAGAGACTGTTGTCATGACTCATGATGTTGTGAAAGGAATAAAACAAAAATCAAATAAAAGAATGCTAGAAAATACTATATTTCATTGGGAGTCGGATAGTAGTAAAGTTCACGAGTTCATGACTTTATATATGCTAAGTGCTAACCAGAAGTTTTTATTTTTGTCTTTTCTTTTTTTGTTCGATAATTTATTTTAATGACAAAGCGATGGTTTATTAAGTTTCAAAGCAGAACTACATCAAGTCTTCCAACAAGACATCGGATATGGTTCCAAAACCACTCCAAAACATGAGCACAGAGGGAGGAGACCGGGCCAGTCTATGGAGAAATTATAGAGTAGTACAGTATCACCACGTCAGCTGGTGATACTTCCATTTAAAATTTGCCATGTGTATAACTTTTTAAAGAAAAATTAACTTTTTATACAGCTGGATTTAAAAGTTCAATTTTATAATTTAAAACCATTAAAAAATAAAAAATAAAACTCAATAATAATAAAAATCCCTAGCAACCCCTTCCCTGAGCTCGCCGCCAAAGCTCCTCCTCCACACTTTTTGCCATGGCTGCCCATCGGTTTTTCTCTTCTTTTTTTTAAATCTCTCCCTCCCCTCTGTTATGGGTTTAGGGTTCAAGGAATTTTCTCACTATTATGGGATTAGGGTTCAAGGGGTTTAGATTGAAGATTTGATGGGGTGGATTTACGATATTTATGGAATCATTTAATTTCATACGAAGGTTTTGAGGAATCTAATAAGTTTCCAAAGTCCTACAAGATATATGGCGATTGAGATGTTTGACAGGAAAAGCAAATAAGGTAGGTGAATAGGAATCCAATCTTGGTAGCATAGCTTTCAAAATATACCAATAGCCGAATCAAATTTTTTTCTATTTTTGGAGTTCGTCGATGAAGCAGGTGGTTTTTGGGGGGTTTTCTTTTTTCTTTTTCTAAAGTTTTTTATATCTCTTTAATTTTATTTAATAAGAGTTAAAATGAGTGGTGAATCTAGTTGTCAATAAATTATACACGTGGCGAATTTTGAGTGGAAGTATCACCAGCTTACGTGGTGATACCGTATCATTCTATAATTTCTCTATGGGTTTTTTTAAAGTGGTGTTCAAGAGTCTTTTTTTTATTTATGTCAAAGTCTTGCATGAACCAATTCTTTTTTGAGTAATGATGGTCCTACTCCAGACATGTTAAAATTTATGTTCACTTCCTTGGTAATTAATTAAGAAAAGTGGAAAGTTTGACGGGTTAGAATTAATGTCTAAAATATCGATGGTATCGGAAATATCGGTAGTCCAAAAATACGGAAATTTCGATGGAAATATCGGGACATTATCGATATTGATAAAAGTTGAATATAAACCACGGAAATTGTAAGAAAAACTTGGAAATTTTTATTGAAACTTTGTAGGATGTTTATTTAGTCAATTATCTATTAGTTTATCACAAAAAATTGGAAGGAAATGCATTGCATGATGAGTTTAACTGATTTAAGTTGATTATATAGCGACTTGACAAACATGGTGAGGATAGAAAATATGTAGTAATTAATGAAAGAAGATTAAACACACCATAATCATTTATACATAATGATACAATATTTTACACTTTATACATTGCATGGTAAGATACACGAGTGACTTAGTACCACATAGAGTTCCCCTTTGCGTATTATCACAAAAACATAAGCAACATGGTGGTTAAGGCATTGGAGGAGTGAAATGGCAGGGGTTCGAATCCCCTTAGCGTGTGTGCTTTGTGTTTTTTTTTTCTTCCACTACAACGATATTTTCGATATTATAGCGATATTTTGATAAAATATTGCTGAAGTATGAGGGAAATTATCGTCGATATTATTGATATTTATACGATATGTGTATGAATACGTTACGAAATATCCATGACCCGAAAAAACGATAATATCCTTGATATTTCGTCGATATTATCGATATTTTAGACTATAACTTAGAGTAAAGATATAAATCAGGGAAAATCTTATTAAATTATTGTTTCTCTCTCTTAATAATGTCATCCAATAAATAAGAATAAAGAGTTAACTATAGTTAAACCTGTGGACATGTGGCAACATTTCAGAATGGTGGTGAGGATACACCTTAAATTAAAATTGTGAGCAAAAATGATCCCTCAATTATTGTTCATGTCAAGACTTGAGTAGTGATGATATGAACATGATAGTATAATGATAGGGACACATGTCATTTAGGTATAATATTATTACATATGCCAAAGCCATGGAAACTTATCGTGAAAGCTCGAGCGGGTGTCAACGTCTATTCTTGTCAACTTGGGTATCTTTTTTCTCATGTTCAGATGATGAAGGTTTATTTATTTATATTCGTTTATGTTAAGCAAGGGCTAAAGACACACAGACCAAAAACAATTACATCAAATTCAAAACCCAAGGATATCCGGTCAGCATTACTGAAGAATAATTGTGTGGAGGAGAGAAACACCGGGGTTCCGTCCTTCCAAACCCACCCGGTGATTTCGTCCTCCCCAATTAATGCTTTTATTAACTCTTTTCTTCACTCCATATATAAAATATATAGCTGAAAAAGATTTGGCTCTGTTTGGTGGGCTGGACTGGACATGACTTTTTCAATTAAAACGGATTACAATCTTCACTTGAAGGTCCCGGAGTCAAGGATTTCACACTTGCTTATTCGAACTTACTTAACACAGCTTACGTATGCAAATGAGCATCAAACCTAGATAAAGAGAAATTAATTGCTCGTATATAACAAACAAGTTAAAAAGATAGTCTTACTTTTCCGGTTAGCATATTACTGAAGAATACTTGTGCGGAGGAGAGAAACACCCGGGTTCCATACTTCCAAAGCTAACACGTGCTTTCGTCCTCCCCAACTACTGCAAAAAACAAAGAGTGGCTTTATGTTCACTTCCTTGGTAATTAATCAAGAAAAGTGGAAAGTTTGATGGGTTAGAATAAAGGTAAATAAGAGAAAATCTTATTAAAGTATTGTTTCTCTCTAATAATAATGTCATCAAATAAATAAGAATAAAGAGTTAACTATGATTAAACATATGGACATGTGGCAACATTTGAGAACGGTGATGAGGATAAACCTTGAATTAAAATTGTGAGCAAAAATGCTCCCTCAATTATTGTTCTTGTCAAGACTTGAGCAGTGATGATACGAACATGATAGTGTAATTGTAGGTAGAGGTGGAGCCAATGAAGGCCCACAAGGGTCATCTGACCCTTCTAAAGTTCCCTAAATAACCATGCGTTTGTTTATATTTACCCTTTGTTTATAATTTATAAAAAATTTGGCATAAGTCCAATTATGAGGAGAGACTTTGGGTGCAATCCACGTAGAAATTGTTGTTGATCCAAGTCCTTTGACTTTTGCGGCACATAAGATTACATGCCTATTTTAATTTATTGATATTTACTTTATTTTTATTTTTTATTTTTTGTTCCAGTTATGCACCTAAAACATAAATAAGGTAAATTATGAATTCCTAAAACTGGTAAGGTATTGATTTGTAGGATACTAATTATCATATTTGATTTGAATTTAATTGCAAATCTATTTATTGAATTCTGAAATTTTCCCAAGGTATACTGACATCAAAATTTGCAATAAGAGTTCATAAAAACTTCATACCTTAACAATAGGTAAGGTACCTATGCATACACCTCGTATGCAGTATTCAGGTAATTAAACCCATAAATTACCTCTGGTCCAGGTAATTAAATCCATAAATTACCTCTAGTCTAGGTAGTTATACCCTTTTGCCCAGCTAATTGAACTCATATAATATCTTGGTATGGATCTTTAAACTCAACTGAGATAAAAATCCATGGAAGACATGTACGTATGTATATAAATATGAACCTCTAGAAAAAAACTGCTTAAGAAAACTCAAGAAAAAAAACACTTACCTGTAAGGCAGGTACATATATACCTGTATGTATTAACATTATTTACCTGTATGCCAGGTACATAATTTAATGTGGGTGCTTGTCTGATCAATTGGTATAATATGTGAGAATTTACTTTTTATTGATTAAATTGTATTATATCTATATATTAGAAATATTATCAAGGAAAAAAAATTCAAAATTCAAAATTTGGAATTCAATTTCAAGGAAATAATGCATTAAATTTAAATTTTCAATGTGTTTTCCTTATTTACCTTAAAAGGTAAAATCGACACAACAAAAAAGTAATAAATGTGAAAGGACCTACATCTAAAACCAAAAACACGAGGACTAGACCCAATGACAGTTAATCGTTTTGGACCTAGATGTAAGATCCCACATCGACCAACGGAGAGGGGGTGATGTGCCTTATATGTACATGCCCACCTCCATCTAGCACGAGGCCTTTTGGGAGCTCACTGGCTTCGCATTTTTAGGAACTCCGAAGTTAAGCGAGTTGGGGGCCAGAGCAATCCCAGGATGGGTGACCCACTGGGAAGTTGGTCGTGAGCTCCCAAAAACAAAACCGTGAGGGCAGAGAAGGGGGCCCAAAGTGGACAATATCGTGCTACGGCGGAGCCGATCCCGGGATGTGACAATTTGGTATCAGAGCCACTCTGCCGTGTGGTGCGAGTGTGCCGACGAGGACGTCGGGCCCCTAAGAGGGGTGGATTGTAAGATCCCACATCGACCAAC